AACTATTTCAAAGTTTCAATTAAAATGTAATGTAGCCTCAGACTTTTGGACTGGAGGAACACTTCATTTGCATTAACGATCGTCACTATACTATATAATAACCACAGATCATTAGTTAAAGCACGAGACTTTGATTCATACATTTTCATATTCCATTATACCATCGTCATAACATTTCTGCATGAGTCATTAATGAAACCTATTATAAAATATATGCCTAAAAAAAAGCACCAGCAGCACTTGCTGAGTTAAAGTGCATCAGAAATGACTCACCGACACATTCGTTCGCCTCTCTGGCCGTCGCGCGTTGCCACGGCCGGTCGTAGTGGAACGGCTTACACCTGTCACACTCCGGTCCCGCCGTGTTGTGCTTGCACTCGCACATTAGGTTCCCTTCTCGGTCCTTTACGCACTTTGACGCGTGCCCGTTACACTTACACCGACCGCCGACCTGCAGGTCAGACACGGCGTAAAAATACGAGTCCCTGGCGAGCTCCGAGTCATCCTCGTTCTCATCCCCGAACGTGTGCAGCCGGTTGAAGGTCACTTTGATATCGGTGGCCGTGACCCAGTCCTGCAGGACGGGAGAGTTGTCGAAGTCATGCGCGGAGGGTCTGCCATCCAGCGTGCTGAACGCGATGAGCCCACCTGTTAACGGCTGCATGTCCGTGTGCGAGTCCGTGCAGATGGCTTCCTGCTCGTTCTGCTTGGTGATGGCAGCTTTGCTCGGTTTGTTGTACATTTTCTTGCACTGGGTTGAGTAGAACTGAAACGGCACCCAGGTTTTTCCGTAATCCATGGATTTGAAGATGGCCATGGATTCAGGGCGAGGAGAGCAGAACTGGAGGCTCACGTAAGTCACCTCGAACTTCTTCCCCAAGGACAGCGTCAAAGTCACATTTTGCGGGTACTGCACGTAGTTCTCCGACTGCCAGCAGGTGAGGTTGTGAGGGTTGTTGAGGTCTGTCAGGTACGCGGGTGGATGCGACTTCTTGGGGTCCGTGGCGTCGCAGATGTTGCAGTCCCTCGATCTTTCCTCGCCCTTCTCGGTCACCACGCAGTACCGCGACGCAGGAGTGCCGCAGGTGCTGGACACGCGCACGTCCTTTCCGAACGCGGAGTTCACAAAGTCGGGGATGCAGCGTCTGGGGTTGCCGTTCTCGTCGTAACACGGGTCCGGAGGAGAGGATTGAGCCGCGAACATACTCATTCCGTATCCACCACGAGCACCGGCCACCATCCCGATGATGGACACCATGGAGACGCACGTTGCCAAAATCCTTATCATTGCAACCCGGGGTCCTCAGTGTCCCTGAAACAGCACTGAACAAAAAAGGAAACTTTTGCATTTAAAAAAGACCGAAATGCATGTACTTAGAATCATTTAGCGTGGAGTTTCCAATATACTATGTGTGAAAGATTTGTGCGTGATTACAGGCGACTTTTCTTAAAGACAAATCCACAAAGTGCACTTTACCTCTTTGCTCGGGTGGAGAAGTATGGCAAACCCGTCTAAAAAAGAAATTATAGGGTACTCTCCCTTTCTTTTCTCTCTCCCGGATATGTTGTAATCTCTTTTCCCCACTTTCAACCAATATGAAACTGAAAACCTGCTATTAGTTTCCAAGGCTTCCTTTCTTCCTCTGCCTAATGCCTAACTCATTCACACCTCTGCCTCTCTGTGACTGAGTGTCGCAGCTCAGTCCTTCTCTCTTTCTGCTGCTCTGCCTGAATTCAATAGGGGGTTCAGTCGTTTACCATTCTCTATGTGCTCCTGCTTTATTGCCCATGTGTGCAAGAAGCACAATGGAATTCTAATGTACGTTTTTATGTAGTTGCATTTCGAGTTATTGTTAATTATAGAGGAACTTTTGACTATCTGGAAAAATAAAACTGTTTATTTACATCAGTTTTGGACGAAAAAAAACTTTCTGTTATAAATACAAATCGAACTTTGAGCAAATTAATTTATATATATATATAGAGAGAGAGAGAGAGAGAGAGAGAGAAATTAATTTGCTTATAGCTATATATATACATATATACATACATACATATATATATATATATACGGTTTTGCTTTTTTATTTTTAATTAAAACTAAATGTATTTTTATTAAAAAATAAATAAAATTAATTAAAATATTGTATAGAACAGAAAAAACGCTAAATAACAAATCACTAAATCACTCTTATATTAAAACAGCAGAACATATGTAATTTAACAAAATAAAGTACTACAAGAAAAATGAATGAATGGATGGATGGATGGATGGATGGATGGATGAATGAATGAATGGATGGATGGATGGATGGATAGATAGATAGATAGATAGATAGATAGATAGATGGATAGATAGATCAACTAATTGACATTGCATGCAGATTGCAACTTTGCAGTTCCACTAAAGCAAAGTTGTCCATTGCATTTTGAGTTATAAACCCAAAACCTTTTCACTGGATGCGACGTTTAATCTGTGAAAACGGAAATAAATAGCATATGCACATCATAAATGTGCATTAAAATCCAGACGCAGTTCTGATTACGCAAACCCGCTGTTGGCCACCCACCGTGTCCCGTACACACTTGTTGATTCACCGTTCCTCACAATAAAGAAACAGCGACACCGCGTGGTATAAAAGTAGTCACTCACTTTTTTATGTCTTACGGTGGTTCTGGATCAGTGCAGGCATGAGAGTTGAGTAGGCATATAAATTATCCAATAGCTGACTTGTAATATAATTAAATAGAAACAATGCGTGGCATTTAATGTTTGGCAGTTCCCAACTAGTTTTATCATTTTATAAGATTCTATCAAGCAGGAAATGTCAAAACTTTTTTTTTTGTCATTTTTTGAAAATGATGCTCAAAGATGTGTGTAATTTGTGTTCCATGGTTTTAAGTTTCAAGCTAATACTGCTAATACTGCAGTGTAGTTCAGACTTTCATGTTAGGCCATATGTAAACGGCACACAGATGTTCAATAAGTTGATATTTGACTAAAACAATAAGCTTGTTAAAAATATGTCTTGTTTTTTGCAGGCAACTGTGTTTACGCGGGAATTTGTGATGCTTCAATAGAAGATGAAGAGAAGAGCAGTAAAGATTTAAGTAAGGAACAATCATTAGTGTTCACTCTTGTGCGTTCAATCAGCGGAAGTGCAGGTCCAGTGAAAGCACAAAAGCAGAACGGTCAAGAGCAACAAATTCATGAGTAGGGCCTATTCATCTTCTAAAATGACTAAATTTGATCACACATGCTTTTTTTATTTCTTGGCAGTAGATGAATGTTATACTTCTTATCCTGCGTGTCAGTTTTTCTCGCCACTGTCCTTGGTGCTGAAGTCATGGACAAACTGGAATAATGTCATCATCACAGGTCTCAGAGAAATAGCAGGTTTATAACTTTTATTAGCTTAAAGTCTTTAATGGTGTCCAAATCTTGGAATATCTAAGAATGTATGACTTCTGAGGTCAGATTTTTATTATTATTATTATTCTTTTATATTTCAGTTTATTCAATAATTCAGTTTTTTATGAAATTTTAATTTATATTTCAATTTGAGAGTTCACCCAAAAATGAAAATTTGCTGAAAATGTACTCACGCTCAGGCCATCCAAGATGTAGATGAGTTTGTTTCTTTATCTGAACAGAGAAATGTAGCATTATATCACTTGCTCACCAATGGGTCCTCTGCAGTGAATGGGTGCCGTCAGAATGAGAGTCCAAACAGCTGATAAAAACATCAGTAATCCACACCACCCCAGTCCATCAATTACAGTCTTGTGACTGATTTGTTTCTTACAAACATGCAGCTGTTCACTTCACAAGACATTAATTGATGGTCTGGAGTTACTTGTGGATTATTGTGATGTTTTTATCAGCTGTTTGGACTCTCATTCTGACGGCACCCATTCACTGCAGAGGATCCAATTGGTGAGCAAGTGATGTAATGCTAAATTTGTCTCAAATACTAAGATTGAGATTCCCTGGAACTATGGCTGCAACCAGGGCCGTACTTGGGGGGGTGCAACTGGTGCGGCAACTGGCACCGGGCCCCGCGTCAGCTGAGGACGGCCCTGGCAGCAACACATCATTACACAGACTCTATTTTAGCACCGATGTGTTGTGGGTTGCTTCCCACTTACGTGGTACAAAAATACTTTCGAGTTTTCCATCAGTGTTGGGTTTTATTCGATTCATGTAGGCACAATGGATTTTTTATGATGACTGACCAATGATGACTCAAATACACAAATACAGAACTTAGGTCAATTTAGAATCACTAAAAACAGGAAATGCCTGTGCATGTAAGTGTCAAGTTTCTCATGTCCTCTTTTTCATTAGCAAAGGTTAATGTCACAGATGAACTTTGGTGGTAATGTCATAACTCTGCCTATGCCTATGGGTTTTTTCTTTTCTTTTTCTCTTTCTCTCTTTCTTTTTTCTTTTCTTTTTTTTTTGTGCATGTAAAAATATGGTACAGTAGATTGTCATTAGTCAAGCACCTTATTTTCTAATTTTGGAGCGAAATGAGAATTAGACTTACAGTCATGACATAAAAGCCAAATGTGAGGAGTTCTCTGACTACAGAGTGAACCAGTGTTGTGGTAAATGAATAGGAAGTAAATCGTTTCCTCGCATAAAAGACCTGTGTGCAGACATACAAAAAGTTGTTCCTTTTATGTGCATCTGACTGAGGTATGAGGGTTGGTGAGTCTGTAATCATAGAAAGCAAATATGGTTTTATTGGTTTGCTAAAGAGGAGAAGAAAATAAAATATTTTTTTTGTTTGTTTGTTTAATTAATTAATTAATTAATTAAAAAGAGTTCCTTTTCGGAAAATACATCACTTCTCAAAATGTTATCAGTCGATCAAGCGATTTCAAAAACGTCATTGCTGATTGCAATGTGATGTGAGCCAGTAACGCGATGTGACGTAGTCGCGTGGGCGGGACTACACGCGCGCTGCGCTTCGCTGTCATCTGTGTGTGAATGAACTGAAGCGGATTTGCATCAGACAAACAAAGGTAAGTTGATTTAAAGTGTTCTACGAACGTTCAAAGCTTTAGTAAAGCTCATGGCACAAAAATCTGCCTCCAACAAGCTTATTCTCATTTGTTAGTAAAATTATGGCGATGTAAATGTATTTATTTAGGCCTATAATTTGTTTGTTTAACTCGGTCAAGGTGCTTTACATGTTGTCACCATAACGGATCTAAAAGATCTCGTTAGTTGACAATGTAGTCATTCAAAATGTATGCTGTTGTATTCATTTTTAACATTAAATATAAAACACGTACACTAAAATAGTTTAGGCTATATATTCACAATATTTGTTTTAAAAAATAATATATTTATTAAAGTAAAAAAAAGTGTTGCTCACAATCATTTTAGAAGCATTCGTTCAGAGGAAAGAAGTAGGCTATGATATAAATTAAACATGATTTCAAAAAGGAGTTTATAGTACAGAAATGACTGAGTGTATAAAATGTTAAATTTAACAGCTCTTGGTCAATATTGGACCAAATTTAAATAACTTAAAATCAGACATCATGTACATGTAAGCTGGTTGACTAGTTTTAGCTGGTCGTCCAGCCTGGTTATAGCTGGTTTGCAGGCTTGTTTTAAAGGGGTCATATGATGCTGCTAAAAAGAACATTATGTTGTGTATTTGGTGTAATGAAATGTGTTTATGCGGTTTAAGGTTAAAAAAACACATTACTTTCCACATAATGTACATTATTGTTTCTCCTCTTATGCCCCGCCTTTCTGAAACGCGTCGATTTTTACAAAGCTCATCGGTCTGTAAAAGCGAGGTGTGCTCTGATTGGCCAGCTATCCAGTGTGTTGTGATTACGCCCCTTACCATACTGTGTTTCCATCATACAGTCTATGGTTTCCATGTGTCCCGGCGCGACGAGACAAAACCAATAAAACCCATTACAAACGAGGCATTTGTTGCATCCAGTGGGGACATAATTACTGACTCTTAACTTTTATAAAGAATATCTCTTTGGATTTGAGACTTTAGTCTTTGCAACTTTACAGATCTTCTTTATGCACCAAGAGCTTGTAACACTCCAAAGAGAAAGGAAAAATTGAAATCGCATCATATGACCCCTTTAAAGGGGTTTTGACCACTTCTTTAGCTGACCATGCTGGGAGTCCAGCAGTCCAACCAGCTAAAACCAGCTTGGCCAGGCTGGGAGACCAGAAACAAGCTAAGACCAGCCAACCTGCTTAGGCTGGTTTTAGCCTCTCTTTTTTTCAGCATGGAGCCACTTGAGTTGGTCATAGGAGGCATTTAGGGAGATTGTATCTCTTGTCATTAATTAGTAGAGATCAAATTTTAAATATTACGTGACTGAAACCTGTTACAGGAGGTTCAGATGTTTGAAATCACCATGTAGATAATTATTTAACTCACCATTGTTCTCAATTCTGTTTCTGTAAGCACTTAATTGGTCAGTATAGTGAAGCCAGAATGACCACATCCTTTTTTGATGAATGTCTGAATGACACTGAAGATTTCTTTATTCTTTACTCATAGATTCATTCATTCATTTTTTTTTCTGAAACTCCTCATCAGGGGTCATCTGTGTCGTTGGCCCTGTAAATGATCTGTATTGGTTATGTATGCTATTATCATATAGTCAGATTACGCACTGGATCATTATATCACTCACTTGCAGTTTCCTTTTCTTTTCAGTTCATATCAAATGCAATATTGGGTGGAGCTCAAGTTCTGGCCTCCATAAAGGTGTGATGTCCTTTCATTTGCATTTTAAAACCACAGCTTACTATGAGGTGATTTACTGCAGTGTGTGACAAGCATGAGTTTCTGAGCGATGTGGGCCTTTCTGCTCTGCACGCTTGGTGAAAGGTGAAAAAAACGACAGTCTAAAAATATCCGCTTATCTCCATTTAGCCACACATTTGTATAGCAGGAAACCAACTGAGCCTGGTCTTCAGTCTGTCTTTGTAAGAGAGAGAAAGACAGCATTTGAATGTCTAGGCAATAAAGTGCCTGTTTCTTCCTTTTAGCACAGGTACAGGCATTCATACAGATGATCTGACAGGAAAAGAGACTTCCTTATGAGCAAGACTGTTGTCAAGATTATTCAAATACCTTCTGCTCTCGCTCGAGGACCTGGATTACCACAGTTTCACAGTTCCTTGTAGGAACAGCGGTTTTATGCATAGAAGGTAGGAATTTACTGTGCATTTCTGTTTTGCACATTATTTTTGTGTGGATAATACAACATTAATCAGAGAATAATTTATTAAAATGTACTATTTTTTGGTTGGAAGAAAGCAGAAATATTTGTTTCTGTCTTTGCAGAGTGTCAAAATTTGAAAAATGAGGTTGTTTAGTGCAGTTGTTCTCAGTTGGACATCAAGTGGCGACCCAATGCAATGGTAAAATGCTTAGTATAGGGAAGTAACCTTAAAATAAATGAATACTTATAAATGAATATGTGACGTTAACTAGCTGCATAATTTGTATAATCTTAGAACTGTACGTTTCTACCATGTGTACAATACTTGTGGATACTTGTGTATATGGATCACTCTTAATTGTAATGTAGAACCAGTCATTTTCTGTAAAGCTGCTTTGCAATGATATGTATCGTGAAAAGCGCAATACAAATAAAAGTGAATTAAACTGAATTAAAATCACACATGAAGTTTATTAGTACGATAAACTGTATAGGCCCAACAGTATGCAAAATTATTAAAAATAAAGAATTGCATAAACAACGAGAGTGTGATTTACTAGTTGAACACACAGAACAAACATTAGGTTAAGTATTGTATCAGCATTAGTCATTAAAAGCAAAGTACCGTACAGTCATTGACATGAGCAATAAAAGATATGGGAAGTGTTGCTTGTTTATTTTGCTATCCTGTGCAAGATTGTGTGATTAATTGTATTTTATTATTTGCATTTCACATAGTTTTTTTGCCCTGCCATTCGCGACCCTATCAGAACAGATCTGCGGCCTGTTATTGAGAATCACCGATTTAATGCGTTTTATGCTCATTCATTTGTTAAATGAAAATATTTAGTTATGTCTAACGCGTGATTTATGAGAAATAACAACATTTCTCTCAAAACATGAAAACCCCTGAGGTTTTCACCCCTTTGAATTCTGCTTCCTGTGCCAAGAACTGTAGGGTCTTTTCTGCATCCGTGTTGTGCTTTCTATATCGACACACTGTAATCTCAATGCAGGAAATGGGCATAAAATTCAGAAAAAGTATATCATGCCAAAGTAATCGTGTTATCCAAGTTCATTCTAAAGTTTTCTGTGCATTGTGATACAGTCAAACCAAAATGTATTCAGACACCTTCAACATTTCACACATTATCACAGTTTATTGGCTATAGTTTAGAAAATGGTAATAAAATATGACAAGAACTCAAGAGTTAAACTGTGTCAGAACAAATTCATCTTGATAATGTTAGATAACACTTAAGCAAAACATGGTCAGGTCAAAGTGTCTGAATAATTTTTGGTCAATTTTATCAATTGTACTGGTAGTCTGCTGTATGACTACAGCTGACATATCCGCTGTATGCATCCACTACTAAAAAAAATATACAAAATTATATCTGGTGTCTGAATAATTTTTGATTAGACTGTACTTTTTTTGTGCTTGCAGATATGAAGGACCTTTCTAACTGACTCATCCATGTCATGTGGATATTATCTGAGCTGTGAACCCCACCATGGAAGAAACATGTACTAAAAACACTCTTTCCTGACACTTGCTGTTGTCTGTTATAGATTACTGAGTTCCATTTCATGCATTACATTAGTTTTATTATTGCACTGAAACATTCTTTCTGAGGGTTTGATATTGATATTAAAATGGTCAAAGCTTTAAGTTTATTTCAGTTGTATTTCATAGACTGGATTTCTTGCATTTTAGTAGTTTAATTCACCTACCATTGCATAATATTTATTTAATAGTGTAAACTATGGGAGTTAACTATAGTACCATATATTACTATAGTACATTACTGTTCAAAAGTTTGTTTTTAATAAATGTATTCAGAAAGTACACATTAAATTGATCAAAAGTAAAGTAAAGATGCAATAAAGTTATTTATCATGTTACAAATTTCTATTTCAAATAAATGCTGTTCTTTGGAACTTTCTATCAAAGAATCATAAAATAAAAATATTTTTTTCTACAACAATATTAAGCAGCATAACTGTTTTCAACATTAATAATAAGAAGATTTTTTTATTATTATTATTCACCAAATCAGCATATTAGAATGATTTCTGAATGTTAATGATGATGATGCTGAAAATTCACATTTTATAATTTACACAGACACTTTGTATTTTAAATTGTAATGATATTTTGCATTAAGTCTATTTTTATTGTATTTTTGATCATATAAATGAAGCCTTCATGAGCATAAGAGACTTAAAAAATCTGACCCAAAACTTTTAAACAGTAGTGTATATATTTATACTCCTTCATAAAAGTCTAAATCTGCTAATTAAAGACTGAAGTTTTCAAACTGAATTGTTCATGTTACATGAGGATTAAAGGAGCTGTGTGAACTGTTTTGCAGTCGGTGGCGTGTCCTCAGTCGTGGAGTCTAGTCTCTACCACAATGTCCATTCCATCCTCCGAGAGCTGGATTGTGAACCTCAGGCTGGATCAGCCTGCAATAAAGGTACCTGCTTTACTATGACAATCTAAACTAAAAGGTAATACACATCTATGCATTTGATATCTTTAAAATGTGTTATATAGCCTGAAGATATCATGTGTTTGAAATCTGGATATATGAAACAAAATATGCTATTCCCTTGTTTAAAGGTGGGGTAAGTGATTTCTGGTAGCCAATGTTGATATTTCAAATCACCAAAACAAAAGACAGACTTCGTTGCGACACGACAACTGTCGTGTCCGGTGTAGACACGGTGTTACTCACCTATCGAGAAGCACCTTTAAGAGGAGGAGTTCACCCAAAAATGCTCTATCGCTCCAAACCTGTATGCTAAGCATTTTTGAAGACTTTTCTTGTTGAGCTCCATATGACAGTTTATCATAATCACATCTGCCAAGCTCCAAAAAAAGACCAAAAAAGCACCAAAAAGTACACAATTCAAGTTTATATGTTGTATTGTTACATATAGTTTAAAAAAAGTATTTTTTTGTAGGCATGTTGAGATGGACTCTGCATAACAGGGTGGACAAAAATCCATCTGTCAGCGTCCCTCTTCTGAGGGTTCTCATAAAAGAGCTTGAAAAGGTTTGTTCCTCAATTATTCTTTCACGTTATAGACATCAAAGATCTGTGCAGAACATCTAAAGATTTTTACAATGAATGATTATCTGGTTTTTCCTTTGATTTGATTTATTCCAGGCGGAGAGAATCAATTCCAAAATTCGCATTATTCCTTTACTTCACACACTTGTCTACACAGTCCTACAGGTCAGATTTCTAGCTTCGTTTTTTTTCTGCAGCGTCTGCGAGTGCTTTGTTTGTTTTGTTATTGTTTCCAGTCAGTGATACGGAATGCATCTGTAAGCAAGTTCCCGACAGATTTGTTATTGCAGGAACAGTTCCTTGTATCTTAACTGGAAATCAACATGATTGGTTTGTTTTTCAGCCATGCGTGATGCATGTTACTTATCGGGTTTTCTGCTTTATTTCAGTCTGTATTTATTCCAGAAGATCTATATCGAAGGATGTTTTTTTGCTTGAAAAGTTTAGTTAGGTTACCTTTACCCTACTGTGCAATCGCTCTCTACTATGCAAGGCAGATGAAAATGGAACAAAATGCACCAGGTAATATATACAGTTACATTAAAGCAATAAAAGTATTTCTGGTGTTTTTAGCACTTTTTATCAGAAATAAACTGGGATGCTTTCCATGTATCAAACTAAATGTTAAACTGGAGTTTTGGAGTAATTTTCAGCTTCATTTTCAGTAAGATACACTCATTTAACCTGATTTTGTTTACAGGAGTATTTCTTACTAACCACCATTCACGCGAGGAGATAGCATGTTTGAATACAGTTAATCTAAATCAAATTTATGACATTCAGAAAATTTAACACAGACAGGACTCAAATATTCTGTTTTCGATTCTAGCTTATTCATATGCACATTTCATTCGTTAGAAGTCCCATCCTGCAACATTCTTCAGGTGCTGTGTTTAATCTATTCCAGGAATACTGTATCAGAGGAGAGTCAGTGCCGAACACAATCTACACAGTGATCTTTATCCACTCCATGAGAAGTAAGTGTAATGCCAGGTTATTAATATTCTCGTCATTTTGCATACTACTGTTCAAAATTCTGGGGACAGTAAGATACCTTGTTTAAATTTGTAAATACCTTATTAAATTGATTAAAGGCATTAAATTGATCACAGGTGACAGTAAAGACTTTTTCACATTATTACGAAAAATTCTATTTCAAATAAATGTTTTTATTTATCAAAGAATCCTATACACAGTGTGTATATATATATGTATATATATGTGTGTGTGTGTGTGTGTGTGTACCTGTTTTTCTATCAGAGTTTTACTGCACACAATGCTAGCTGGATTTGGAAAAAAGTGCCAGGTTGACCAGCTCTCACAGTCTCTAGAGGTTTGTGCATGTTTAAAAACATCGGTTATATATTTTATTTTAGAATACACATCCTATAGATTTGTTTTAAAAAATGTTGAAAACAGTTGTGCTGCTTAAGATTTTTGTGTATAAATCGTGATACATTTTTCTTTGATGAATAGGACGTTAAAAATAACAGTGTTTATTTGAAATATATATTTTTTGTAACAGTGTAAGTTTGTGACTTTACTGTCAGTTTTGATCTTTTTAATGCATTTTTGCTCAATTATAGTATAATGTAAATACAATTTTCTTCAAGAACAAAATGTATAATTATGTAATTTTTACATGTTTAAAATACAGTAAAAATAATCAAATTAAATTACATTTTTAGTATATATACATGTATAAAACATTGTATAATCAAATTTCAGTAGCAAAAATACCCGCAGCAAGATATCACATGGGATGAGTCTGAAGTTTGAACCTGTTAATCCTTTAAGATGTCCATAAAGTCTTTGCTGGAAAATCCTATGCTCTAAATAACTGTGTGTATTTTGTTCATTTCAGCATTTAGGTGAAGAGCTGGAGCTGCACTTCCAGGATCTCGTCACCATCCTAGAGCAGAGAACAGAAGATGGAGCTTCTGACGATCACCAGTACAAAACAAGATTGCAAGAGATCTACCAAGACATCCTTACTGCTCCAAAAGGTAGAAATGTCCTCACCACAATCCAGTAAGACACTATTTAATTCAAGCAAACTCAAACATGTAGTTTTTTTCACACGTTTGGTCTGTTTAGATCCGTCGTGTCCAGCCTCGCAAGTAGAAACTCAGCTGCCCAGTCCTGAGGTCAGCTTCCATGTCTGGACCAAAGAGGATGAGATATGTGAGCTCAACTGCTGTTATTTCAACAAATGCTTGTACCCTTAAAACTATGAAAGCTTGTTTCTGCCACAGGAAAAAAACACAGATCAAACTGTAAATTCTGCAGTATAAAACTGTAATTTACAAACAAGAAAATTTGAATGTAGAATTCAACAACGCACACTGCTACTAAAATCTGTTTTGTACCTTTAACATACTGACAACCAGCATAATAATGCAGGTGGTAAAAAAAAGAAAGCCACATGAAGAATCAAAGTTCATCATAAGTAGCTTTCCCACAAGCTGAAGTATATACTAATATACAGAAGGTGCATTCACACAAACATCATAGTAACACACGTGACACTTAAATAATGCAGTTAAATAAAACATTCATTAAACAACAGATGTCATATAAAACCCAAATGTACATAACTGATAACAAAAACTATTAAGAGACATGATTATTTAAACGAAATACTTTCAAATGTGGAGTTTCACAACATAACGGGAAATTCTGGGAATATCAGTTTACCGTTTTTTGACTGTAAATTATACATTGATTTGTTCTTTTTTACTTCTAAAAACTGTTCAATTAAGATATCATTTTACTGTAAAATTACATGAAATGTAATGAGTTTTTCCATGTGTATAGTACGGGAACTTACTGAAAAGTCAAAATTGTGAGATACAAACTCTCAATTGCGAGAAAAAGTCTGAATTGTGAGATTAAATGTGGCGATTACTATTTTGATTTTTAATTCTGTGCTGGAAAAAAAAAAAAGAATTGTGAGATGTAAATTTAGAATTCACAGAATTGTGAGATGTGTGTGTGACAATTGCGAGATATAACAAAAAATGCAGTTTTTATAAGAAAAGTCTGAACTGTGAGATAAAAAGTGCCCATTTTTGTTTTGTATTTGTGGTGGAAACAAAAAAAACAGAACTCCGCAATGTGAACTCGGAATTCTGAGGAAAAAAATGAGAATTGTGAAATGTAAACTCTATATAAACTCTAAGTTATGCCTTTGTTTTTCTTAGAATTGTGAGTTTTAGAATTGTGATCTTATAATTTTGACTTTTTTTCTCAGAATTGCATGAAAAATTATTATTTTTTAATAATTATTTTTATATATTTTTATATAATTTGCAGTCGGTGGCGTGTCCTCCGTCATGGAGCCTAGTCTCTATATAATAATTATTTTTATATAATTTTTTAATTATATTTTTATTCCATGGTGGAAATAAGCTTCCATATAAAACAGATCCAACATGGTGCGTTTTACATTTTTCTTTTTAACAGGGAATGAGCTGGTTAACTTTGCACTGATGGTTCCTGCAGACCGAAACTCTGCTTGTCTGGATGAGGATGACCTGAAGCGTAACTCGGTCATGTCCACCGTGTCCACGGACAGTGGCATAGAGGGAGACATGCCCATCAGTGAGCTCTCCTCTATAATGCTGGAGTCTCAGGGCGGAGCAGAGCTCCCAGAGGAGCAGAGCAGCTCTCATTCCTTCTACAGGAGGCAGTGTGTGCGATGTCCCAAAGCTGGCAACAGAATGACACTCATGATGGAGGCCATTAGGGGAAATGGAGGATACAGCCTTGCTAAAGAGGAAAGGAACCTCACTGCTCGGATCCTTGTAATGGGTGACGACAGAACGCTAGGACGGCTCGCCAAAACTCTCCACACTATACGGTAAGATGTTTTCATCCATTCTTTTACACATTTTACCTTTGCATTTAAAAAAGTATGAGGCTAATTTATAATGTTTTCATCTTACTATGTTTGTGCTCAGGAAAAGGGAGGCACGACATCTGCTGCTGACAAAGAGAGTGAATATGGAGATGTATTACATTCCAGTGACTGACCAGACACTTTCTCCTGTTCAGGTAAAATAGATTTTGCTTTAGTTTTCATTTAAAAAAAAAAAACGCCAGCAATGACATCTCACTGTAATGCATGTGCTTCCCAGGAGAGTGCTCCTGAAGACATGCTGACATTGGCAGGATATTTGGGTAGCGTGGATCCGTGGTATGACTGTAATATCAACGGTTTGGGAGCCATGATTCTAAAACTGGCCCAGATGGTAATTATTACACTTTTGAAGAGTCCACAATATGAATGGGAATTGTTTAGAATTTAATAATTCTGGTTCCAGTTCCTTTTATGTATTCTGGATCCTTAGCAGTTCCATTAAAAATATTTTAAGTGCTTTTATGGAATAAATATGTGGAAAAAGAAATGAAATTTCATTGTTAAATCCGATTTTTTTCCAATAATAAATAAATGTAAAATAATCATTGCAAAATGTATGTTTACATCTTGCATAGATAAAATTAAATGACATTTACATTGACAACATAAAGAATAATGAGAAGGAAAAATATTTAAATTATTTATTTTGAGTCCTGTTACAACAGCAGAGAAGGCTTTGTGTGTCTGTTGAAACTGAGAACATGCTTCTCTACTTGCATGCTTGTTATAAATATATAGGGATTTAGGGAGTTTTTTAACCTTCTTCTTAAAGGGGTCATATGATGCTGCTAAAAAGAACATTATTTTGTGTATTTGGTGTAATGAAATGTGTTTATGCGGTTTAAAGTTAAAAAAACACATTATTTTCCACATACTGTACATTATTGTTTCTCCTCTATGCCCCGCCTTTTTGAAACGCGTCGATTTTTACAAAGCTCATCGGTCTAAAAAAGCGAGGTGTGCTGTGATTGGCCATCATTGTAGCAGTTAAAGGTGCAATAGGTGATTGTACGGTGGCCGAGAAGTGCTAAACAAATCACAATTCTGAAATCAAAATAACAACCAAAAGGGGTCGATCACGTCAAAAAGCCGACGGCAGGCGCTTATCCATCTGCGCCACTGGAGCTGATGATTTACAGCCACTTTTAACTAAATGTAAACAGGCAGGTGAAACACCATCTGGGCCTGAAGTTTTCCTAGATTTCTGCTTCTTGAAGACCCGGTTCACATCCTCCTCAGACCAGTCCATACTGACGGCGAGTCGTTGGCTGAAAACTGTTTTTTCAATTTTTTAGAGTAGGTTTAAAAAAAGAACATTGAAAAAGAACCAGCTCATAAAAATTATTTATTCGGAAGTCAGACTACACTGCGGACACTGCACAGTATGTGTTTGATTCACTACAAAGAACCGGATCATTAAAGTGATTTGTTCGCGAGTCGGAGTACTGAGTGTGCTGAATGTGTTTCATTCACAAAAAATTTAATTAATTAATAAATAAATAAATAAATAAAAAGTGTTCATAAGAGTCATTCATTTGACGACAGTCGAACTGGTTGCGTGTATTTTTTTGGATTCACTAAAAAGAACCGATTCGTCTAGGAGACGAACAACACTGGGGGACACTGTATGTTTTTTGGTTTACTAAACTAACTAGCTCGTAAGAATCATTTTTTGGCAGTCAGTTGCACCGAATGTGTTGATTTTCCAACGAGAACCGGCTCAAAAGTGTAATTCACTCAGCAGTTCAATGTTACTAGTTGCGCTGTATGTTTTTGAAAAACCAGTTCAAAAAGAACAAGTTCATAATAGCCATTTGTTCTGTAATCAGACCGGTTCTGGCTTCCGAACCTAGTTCGCAACCATGAATTATTCATTGTCCTTTCTCTACTGTTACTTTAATAATGGTACATTCATGTAATTATATCGTTGAAATTAATTGAAATTATTAATATAACTGTTTTTAAGAGCAAGAAATTGCTTGAGAGCTCTAAAGCATCTGAGCAGCTAGAGAATGTAGGGTTACTGTACATCTTTTCCTGGTGTTTGAAGAATGGAGTAAAAAATGTATGTCTTGCTATTTTTTCTATTTTCACCTGTAGTCTTTTGAGTTTCACTATGTCTGTATATCTAAAGTTATGTGCCAAATGAAATGACATTTACATGGATGACATTTGGGATGGAAATACACATGCAAATAAAGATAAATGAGAATGGAAGGGTAAAAATATTTAAATTAAATGATTTATTTAGAGTCCAGTTACAACAGCAGAGGAGGCTTTGCTGGCCCTGAGTGTTGATCTGTATAATTTCTATGTGTGTGGAGTTGAAGCTGAGAACAATGCTTTTCTACTTGCTTGCTATATATAAATATATATAATATAAGGATTCAGGGAGTTTTTTAACCTTCCTCTTAATTGATGGCATTGTAGAAGTCAACTCAGAGTGAATCTTCGGACCCCAACACCTTCCTGCTAGATATCATCTCATACTACACACGTGTCAGCCAGCATCCGGTGCACCTTCCCATCTACTCTGTCAAGGTTAGATTGAACCTTGCAATGATTATCTTCTTGTCTTAGTGAATGAATCAATACTTCTGTGAAAAGTGAATTATCCTTGTGCTTACCAAAAGTTTGTCGTGATTGTGGAGATTGTAGGTTGTTTTCCATGACAAAAGGTGAATGTCTGTATGTTCTCATGTCTAGATCTGCTTTTCTGGCCTCAGCAGCACCACAGTGGAGGAGGTGTTTGTGGCTCAACTCGCCATGGACTTTCCCGAGGTCAAACGCTGCAGGGCCACATTTAAAGACACAATTAAAGGTGCTGATGTCATTCTAATGTTATCTAATGTCATTCTAAAATACATCATATAATTACATCATATATCTCAGCACTTTTTCATCTGCTTTTACTAAATGTTTGCCATCAATTTTGCCTTAAAGGTTCAGTGCGTTACAAAACATACAACCCACAAGAATTTCATGGTGCAGTCGTGTCAATTAATTATAGAAAGGTAAGTATTTTATTGATATTTTTGGGGGACATTTAAAATTTTAGTATTACATTTTCTTAAATGTACACTGCCATTTCAAAGTTTGGAGTTGGTAAGACTTTTTACAAGTGAAAGAATGCTAAGGCTGTATTCATTTGATGAAAATTGCAGTAAAACAGTAATATTGTGAAATATTATTACAATTTAAAGTAAATGTTTTCTATTTGAATATATTTGAAAATTTAATTTATTCCTGTGAGGTAAAGCTAAATTTTCAGCATCATTACTCCGAGTCTTCAGTGTCACATGATCCTTCAGAAATCATTCTGATATGGTATTTGATATGACTTTCTTTTTTCTTTTTTTTACCAATTTAATGAGTCCCTGCTGAATAAAAATATAAAAATCTTTCAAAAGAATTTTTATTTTTTTTATAAAAACACATTTAAATTAAATACTTGCTTTATGTGCAGAAAATAATATGCAAAATAATTGCATGAAGTTTAGTTAGTGTTCTTACAATACAGAATCTATGTCATAAAAGTTTTTGTATTTACATTTCTTTAGGCCTCAATAAGTGACAGAGAAAAGGATATGGGAATGTCTTTGCCGATGAGTGGCATGTTGATCAGTGTCTTGCCTTCCTGCAGAGTCAGAAGTATGTCACATACTTAATAATAATTTAAGAGGTCATGTTGGCCATTAATAAAAGCAATAAATGTTGAGAATTTATGTATAGAAAGGCATTATAATCGGACTCTTCACCTCTGGACATTCTTGAATGTTTTACGTGGGTCTTTATCCAAACATACTGTGAATGTCTGCTCCTCCAGAACTCTGATACTGGCGCTAACAGCTCTGAGTGAATGCTAGAGACAAAACAGGATGTTTACCTCAATATTTCATTCAAGATGACTAAATGTATAATCTGGAACGTTACAGAAAAACCACTCGGTTATATGTTCTACACGTTCACTTACTCTGCTGGGCCTTGTGGGATTCATATCTTGGAAACTTATGCTGACACTATGTAGACCTGTAGGACCAAAGTGCCACATTACAAACAAGGAAACCTGTGTTTTTATTTCTTTTCCTCATTTAAAATATGTATCAGTAACTTCTTGTTGGTGAAAATACATTGTCAGTGTAAGTCTTTAATAAATACTGCCAGCCAAGAGTGTGTTATCATTAACTAAAAGTCAAACTAAAAACATGCTAACGGAAATAATTTATATATATATATATATATATATATATATATATAAATTATTTCCGTTAGCATGTTTTTAGTTTGACTTTTAGTTAATGATAACACACTCTTGGCTGGCAGTATTTATTAAAGACTTACACTGACAATGTATTTTCACCAACAAGAAGTTACTGATACATATTTTAAATGAGGAAAAGAAATAAAAACACAGGTTTCCTTGTTTGTAATGTGGCACTTTGGTCCTACAGGTCTACATAGTGTCAGCATAAGTTTCCAAGATATGAATCCCACAAGGCCCAGCAGAGTAAGTGAACGTGTAGAACATATAACCGAGTGGTTTTTCTGTAACGTTCCAGATTATACATTTAGTCATCTTGAATGAAATATTGAGGTAAACATCCTGTTTTGTCTCTAGCATTCACTCAGAGCTGTTAGCGCCAGTATCAGAGTTCTGGAGGAGCAGACATTCACAGTATGTTTGGATAAAGACCCACGTAAAACATTCAAGAATGTCCAGAGGTGAAGAGTCCGATTATAATGCCTTTCTATACATAAATTCTCAACATTTATTGCTTTTATTAATGGCCAACATGACCTCTTATGTGTAACATATGTTCCAGAGAAATCATGCATGTCATCTTTTGCCCACAGCATTGAAGTTTCTCCATGCTTGGACCCGGGATACTCTCATCAGCCGAGTACAAAATCCAAGTACAGTTTGGGAGAGGGAGGTGAACCGCTGGGCAAATATGTCAACAAGACCCTCACGCTACCAATCAACACCTTCTGTGGCACTGAGCAATGACAATACGACTCGAATTCATGATATAAGAGCTCGAGTCACGAGACAAACTGAAACCTTTTACCTCTCAGAGGCTTTTAGTGTTTGAAAATTTAATTTATTCCTGTGAGGTAAAGCTAAATTTTCAGCATCATTACTCCGAGTCTTCAGTGTCACATGATCCTTCAGAAATCATTCTGATATGGTATTTGATATGACTTTCTTTTTTCTTTTTTTTACCAATTTAATAAGTCCCTGCTGAATAAAAATATAAAAATCTTTCAAAAGAATTTTTATTTTTTTTATAAAAACACATTTAAATTAAATACTTGCTTTATGTGCAGAAAATAATATGCAAAATAATTGCATGAAGTTTAGTTAGTGTTCTTACAATACAGAATCTATGTCATAAAAGTTTTTGTATTTACATTTCTTTAGGCCTCAATAAGTGACAGAGAAAAGGATATGGGAATGTCTTTGCCGATGAGTGGCATGTTGATCAGTGTCTTGCCTTCCTGCAGAGTCAGAAGTATGTCACATACTTAACCTTCTGTGGCACTGAGCAATGACAATACGACTCGAATTCATGATATAAGAGCTCGAGTCACGAGACAAACTGAAACCTTTTACCTCTCAGAGGCTTTTAGTGTTTTGTATGTGTGCGTTTCCTCTTTTTATATTTTCTCTGTTGCCTAAAATACATGTAACCTCAAGAGGCTATGACTTCCTGCTGAGCTGTGAACAGACGTGATGTTTCATAGACTGTTTGAATGTGTTGAAATGTCTGTGAATTGACCTCGATCTTTGTAAAAACGTCCTGCAGTCTGCATTTTAAAATTTTATGTTTACACTACTTTTTTATTTTCATGACAGTGTTTGTATGATACTCGGATGTGTAATTTAACACTTTGGAAGCACTTAGACTTTCATTTGACACTTGCCATTAACACACGTTACACGATAGAAAATAAAACGCATTGAAGATAAAGGCTGCATCCAAAATCGCATACTCTCTGAGTAGGCACTTCTTTTGAATAAGTAATTACTTCACGACTGTTAAAAAAGTATGTTCTATATAGTATAGAAGTGTGTAGTAGCCTATGAATGTAATCTGGACATACAACATATGCCATGTTGTCACTGTCATGTGATCTACGCCATCATTTGCATCCCGTGGCTTCATGGGATAGCAAAGTGTCCATCGTAACTGGGTACTTTTCACCTACTGTTTTATGAATACTATGAATTTGGACATACCGGTACTTCTCCTTTCACACACTGTTTTTCGCCTACTGTATAGTAGGAAAGTATGCCATTTTTAGATGCAGCATTTGTTGTAGGCATTTTGGATCAGAATAGCATGGTACCCTAGTTTTTCTGCAGTATGCAGTATATACACTGTGTGCAATATGTAAGTATGGAAACCTGTTACATTTGCCGAAATGTGCTGTGGGACATTTGGGATATTGTATTTTACAATGCAATGCGCTCGACTTTTATTTACTGTGACAAATGAACTTGAGCTAACAAAGTTTTCTTCTTGACATTTTATCAGACTTGCCAGTAACTGTAAAGTAATATATTTTATTACTCGTTGAATTAAACGTGCAGCGTAAATGATTCTGTAAATATACTGTAAGTTCATCCTCGCATCAAAAGGTGGCGTTGTAAACTAAAAAAATTGAATTTGCTCTAAGCGCTGAGGTCGGCCATTGGTTGTTTGTCAAGAGAAGGAAAACGTGTTACACCTCACCTGGATGCGGTGTGGACATGAAAAGCCAAAGAAAACTTTAATCGACAATATTCTGTCAAGCAAACCATGAGTTTACGGATACGATAGATCTCAGGTAAACAGCAGACGCTCAGCAGTCTCGTGACGTGTTACAACAGGTGCGCGATGATGCTAAGTTTCCTGTTACTGAGAGTTTGACGTGTCTTTTTTCTATCTTTTTCTTTCTTTAAGCCAGTTTAAGCGATTTACAAGATTACAAGAGACTGAATAGAAAACATCTGCTAAAACTGCTTGTTGGAAGTCTTTCAGGTTTCATTTTGTGAAATTGCAATACACTGACTGCACGCTCTCTATCGAATTTTTTTAAATAGATACTTTTAATGAACTTTGCTCTCATGTGATGTTTCATTTTCTAGAAGTGTCCTGTTTTAGGAAATCATGGTGAGGGGATGTGTACATATAATTTAAACGCGGTTTGCTGGACACAGTTTTGCTCCATATGGAGCCTATTAACCCATGTTGTTTATGTTATGTTATGTGTTGCAATATACAATGATGATATCATGGTACTCTATGAAACCCTTCGAAGTACCATTTAAATACAATAGTACATTGTTTTCTTTGGTGTAAAATAGTGTTACCCATTAGAAATAGAAAATGAAATACTTTCTACCATCAAAAAGTATCATTTACTTTAATACTGATATAATACCATGTTTATGGACATTTATTTTTATATATATTTATAAAATTTGTATATACATTTTGAATTTCACATATATACAGATATAATTAATATTTGTATTTATTGTATTGATTTAATATATAATTGAAGGTAAATAATAGCATGCAACTGAAAGTCTGTATCAGGGCTGAAACAGGGGTGTCAGACTGGAGGGCCGGAGCCCTGCAGAGTTTAGATTCCACCCTAATTAAACACACCAGATTCAACTAATCAAGTCCTTCAGGCTTATTTGAAAACTACATGGTATGTGTGTTGGAGCAGGGTTGGAACTAAACTCTGGAGGGCTCCGGCCCTCCAGAATTTGAGTTTGACACCCCTGGTCTAAGATAACATAACATCTAAGAATGGAACAAAAATACTACACATTCCACAAAAAGTCCCATGGTACTACCAATAATAACACTTTTTTTTCTCATTTTGCACAAACTGTTATTTTTTTACACTTATCATCTTATACAACCACTTTACCATTGTTCTGTAAACTTGCATATATTTTTTTCCATTTAATTTTTTTCTTTTTCTTTAAACCACACAGAGCGCTAACTGAAGTCGACAAACATGATGAAGAATGGAGCAATGCAGAAGAGCAAGCAGTGGAATGTGAAGGGAGCTATCTGGCTGGCGGGTGTCTTTCACTTCCTCCATTCCTGTGGCTCCGGTTGCCTCCTTCCCTTCCTGACCCTCTACTTCCGGCACCTGGGTCTCAACGCCACCATGATTGGAATCATCATGGCGTCCAAGCACCTGCTCGCCCTGGTGTGGCGCCCATTGTCCAGCGTCCTCACCAGGCAGTACGACAAAAGGCGGACGGTCATAGTGGGCTCCCTGCTCAGCTCGGCATTGGTGGTTTTGACTCTTCTGCTCTTTCCGTCCACAGGAATCCAAGCTGAAAGTGGACGGTGTAACGCTAGTCAACCCGATACTGATCCTACCACCATTCTAGAGTGGGCGACGATTCCATCGCAATCAAATGTTACTGTTTATTCAATAAACCAAACATCTGTAAGTGCCGAACAACCTGTTGAAGTTACCACAATTGTAAGTTCCAACTGGTCAGCAAGAGGCCTGAGATCTGTGAAGAAGCCTCAACAGGAAGAAGACCCTCACACTGAGTTCCTGGGAAGCCTGAAAGTTATGGATGCCCAGCATCAGATGTTCTTTCTGGTTCTCATTGTGATGGGTTTGTGGGAGTTCATGGCCGCCCCGTTGGAATGGACGACTGATGATGGACTCTACGAATACTTGGATTTCGTAGACGCCACCGACCACCATAATGGCGTGAAGGTCTGGAAGCAGCTTGGAGCTGCTTTTGGCAACTGTGCAGTTGGAGTTCTTGTAACCAGTCTGTTTTGTCTTACAGGAACTACATTGGAGTTTTACTCCTACACTACATTTATGATCCTAACCGTCCCTACAGCCGCCCTTCTTCCAATCTACCTCCGCAAGCGTGAGCGGCCCACTAGTGCAGGCTTTAAGGCACTACAATTGGTGCGTGGGAACTCGCAGGCGATACTTTGTGCCGTCACTGTCATTTTGATGGGCATGGTGAACTCCGCTGTATCGGATTTCCTCTTATGGCACATGCAGGACTGCGGTGCCACGGAAATCCACATGGGCATCTCTTTAGCCTTGGCGCACTTAAGCCAAACTGGCTTTGCTCCAATTGCTGGCCATCTCTCCCGGTTTCTAAAGTACCACGGTTGGTTACTAGTACTCGCCGTTGTTAGTTTAGCCCTACAGTGTCTTTATTACTCCTTCCTGTGGGGCCCGTGGGCTGTAATACCCGCTCAACTGCTGGCGGGCTTCAGCACCGGCGCCCTCTGGTGGTCCGTAACATCGCAAAGCGAAGACATCGCCACTCCCGGCACTGAAAAGACCATTTTAAGGCTGTTTGAGGCTCTTTCTCTGGAGTTGGGTGCAGCGTTTGGCAGTCTGACGGCTGGGTTTGTGGTGCAAAAGTTTGGGGTCCAAGTGCTTTTCCAAGGCACAGCGGTCATTCTGGCTTTGTGGAGCAGCGCTCTTGCCGTACTCAAGTGGAAGATTCCTCGGCAGCGCCGGATAAACTACTCACGCCTGCTGGCCGCTGACACCGAGATGAGCGAGTCGGAGTCAGATCAGGAGAAAGACTGGCTTGAGACGGCTATGGAAGACGCTACAGGAAATAACAAGTGGACAATAGATAAGTCTTAATCAACTTGTTAACAGTCGGCAAATAAAAAAACTAAGAGCGAAATATCACTAATACAGTATCTGCAAAGAATTATTTTCTTACTCCTACTCCATATTTTTGTCATGTTTTCCCATGTAAATATCTAAACATTTTTATATAAATATGCATTTACTTGAGAAGTATAATGACAAACAAGAACACAAGTCTTGTTTAATAAGAAAATGTATCAAAATTGACATGAAACATGATTCGATATCTTATGTCATTATAGTTCTCAAGAAATTAAGTCTTGTTTTGTGATAAAATTATCAAAATTTATTACGTTTAAGCGTAAAACAAGAAAAAAATATGTCAATGGGATAAAAAGAATAAATTCATTCAAATGGAAAACAATATTAATTTTCTTACCACACTGGCCCCACATTAATGACT